GGTTGATATACACCAAAGTATGCACTAAGGTAGCTCTGCAGGCTTTGACACTCACTCTCAAGTCACCATGAGCCCTGGTAATGGTCTGCAGATGCAGGTTCTTAGCCGACTAGCAATGCAACGTATTTTGACATAGCTCAGTCTACAGTGATGGAGGCTCACCTTTAGATTTCATACTTTTCATTTATATGGCCATAGAGAAAGAATATTTCAATCATTTTTGACAATATACCATCTATAAGTCTATTACTTTGATATTATTTTCTACGTTACATATTTAGAAAAACAGAATCTGATAATCGATTGCCAGTGGAAATACACATTTTAACAGGTCTCAACTTCTCCTTTCCTGGTTGATTTCAGAGCTGAAACAGGTGCACAGAAAGAAGTTCATTTAATGAAGTCCATAGGAACTGCACATGTTGCATTAATTCCTCTTTTCCAAAATTTGATGATAAGTAAACACTTCTAGGATAGTTAAATGGCGTATTGGAACAAACACCCAACAGAAACACAGGATAACAGGCTAAATTGGGCTCTTTTCATTTCTGCTTAGGTTTGTAAAAAATATTTCATATTGCTAAGCTTAAAACTCTTAAAGTTATCAGTGCCATTTACAAATCGCAACTGATGTAACATATTCTCTATTGAAAACAATGAATGATCAAAGCAGGATGAGATTATAGCACTGTGACTTGTGTTTCATTTCCAAGAATGTATTTGTATGTATGTATGCGTTCCTATGCGTCCATAGTAACCACAGCCATAACCCAGAAAGTATGGCGTTGGGAGCTTTGCTCTGAAAATCAAGTAGCCCATTAGGAGGCATAAATATTAATAGAGCTGTCTAATCCTACGCTCTCAAATGAGGTAGTTCAGATCATGATTCTTCGCATTTAAAATTTATTCACTGCACCGACTAGAATAAGAAACAGAATCCACATGTGAAGAAGTCACTGATGTTGGGCAGTCTCTTAGCCACTGATAATTCATAAACATAAAAGTAAGGATCAAGAGATTTCTTTCCTTATTCTACTCCCAATCCTCCTACAAATACTAGTGTATCCAAAACTGCACGTGCCTAGTTCCATGACATTGAGTATATATCATATTCTCTACAAAAACTACACCCCCACATTTTCACATTCGGATATCTTCAGGCAACACGAAGGCTTTGGTGCAGGTTCATAAGAAAGAGCATACTATCATCCCAAGTGCAGAACACACAATACCTGGGGTTTCTTTTAGTGGTCATATTAGTGATCATTTTCAAATTTTCTTTATGTAGTTGTCATTAAAGTAGGAAATTCATGGTGCAAACTGTTGCAACGCAAAGAAATTAATATAGAGTATTAAAAAAACACAGGCATGCAGCTAAAGCAGGATGTACTGTCCTCCTGAGAGATAAGAAGTTACCCTGACATTCTGGATCACAAGTAAAATATTTGTGCTTTGACTATAAAGTAAAATAGAGATATGAAATATCAAACAGAGTGCAAAACTATTCAGGTATTCCCTAGAAATGATGCAAAAGTTTGTCAGGAAATTCAGGAAATACCACATAGTCAACAATATAATTAATATCAGTCAGTAAAATGGTGTTACCTACAATATAGCCTAGGTTCTATTAAAATTTAGAATTATGGAGTCTAGCCTCTAAAAAAACAACACAAAATTAATTTTTTGCACAGATTTTCGAAAACCAGCCCTAGCAAATAGAGAGGTTTCTGCCTGTATGCATGCCCATAACGGAATTAGTAACCTCTGACCTTCACATACCTGAAACAAAAGACATGAAAACAGATGATCTTTCTTCATCTATTGAATCAGTAAATTGAACATGAAGTATACTGAAATATAGGCATCCATATTTAGCAAAAAGCATGCTATGTTGTCTCATTCCTTTTCACCCAGCTCCAGCCTATCAGTATGTAGTCTCTGCAGTGTGCATGTCCGCATCCCACCAAGAGGTGGTAATGGTTATAATGCTCCTTACGATCTCTAGCACGACTCGTGGATAGAATTCCTTTCATTTCTGCATGTATCTTCATCAGACACATGCAGACACAGATACTCTGTTCTTCAAAATTTTGAATCTTCTCATGTCCCTCAGCTGCCAATTAAGTGTAGATACTAATTTATTTATCTAATTCAGTCTATTTCATGTAATTAGAAAGAATTAAACAATATATACGATAGCATACAGTTGCTGGTTCAGTCACTTTGAATTTATATAACCTTTATTAATTAAAATTTGGTGTCAAAGTCTGCCTTGTTTTCGTATTTTCTCTTTCCAGTAATTTTCATCATTAAATGTAATGAAATGACTGCAACCTAAAAATCCAGCAAAAGAGAGAATATTGGGCCTTTCTGCTTTCTCATACAAAACCAATGCTATTTCCAAGCTGCTGCTGCTGCTTAGATGCTGTGACTCTATTCTACAACATGATTCCTTTCACTACTAGGTATGGGGGCAATCCAAGCCAAGGATAACCTTAGGTTATATATGGGTGAGTAAAGCATGAGTTACTCAGAGAACAGAGGTTACTACAGCTATGCCAGCTGCCCAGGCTGAAGGTACTCAGGAGTCCTCCGCACTTGTCAATGGGGAAAGGTAGGCTTCTGCTGCTTTTTATTGTGCTGTGTGTGCAATGAATTTAACTGGAAAGGTACCTACTGCATTTCAAATAACCGTCTCTTTATTCTCCTTCAGGCTCACAGGACAATAAACATGACTTTCTCATCTACTGGGCTCTCCCTTTATTTTTGCTATTTTTCTGTTTGTTTGGTTTTTTTTTAATATTCTCTCATAGGAAAAGATGCTTTCCGAGAACAATGATGGAGATCTGCATCTTTATTTATGACTTTGTGAATCAGCATCTGGGTGATAGGAAGTGAAAGTTGCTCAGCTAATTACACATGCTTGATGAACTGCGTAATAACTGCTGCAGCACTGCACATTAATTGAATGCATATAAATGACAGCAGTTATTCTAACTTGAATGATGTGCGAAGAAGTGACGTCGCTCACAGTACCTTGATTATCTTTGTTTCCAAGTTGGGGAATCCAGCTTAAACAATTGTATTTTTACAGCAGTAAGCAAAAATTCCCTAATAGAAAACATTAGAAGCTGCCTCAAAAGCCCTACACTTTAAAAACAAATTGCCTTAAGTCACTGAAAGTGGATTTAGGCATCTAAAAAAGCATACCTTGAGCAACTACAATTAACAATTAACGACTAGCTACAACTAACAGTCAGTAGGAGTTGTAAGAGCAAAAACCTTGGAAAATAGGGCCACCTTCATTTAGATGCCTAGATATTGCCTTGCAAACCTGATACAGAGTTTACAGAGTTGAACTTTGCCCAACTCTAAACAATTTCCTGCTATGAGACTTTCCTAAAATGTATTTGTTCTGGAATAACAGGGACATATAGCATCTGATATAAAAAATATGGATTACAGCTAATAGGCAACCCTGTATGTCCACACTACTCTTTGTTTACCCTAAAAAGTATTCTTGATTTAAATGTAGTCCAGCTATTAACTAACACATTATTTTAAAGAAAACAATGAAGAAAAATAATTTTATGTAAAACAAAGGTGTAAAGTAGTACAAAATTAATACTATAAACTAGTACCAAATATCTACTTTAAATCAGTACCAAAATATACCTTCCATATTGCATATCCATGGCTTCGGGAATTTGCAAATGTTCACAAAGAAATTTGCAAATTCTCCCGTACTATCTAACACGAAAAGGGTAGAAGCCAAGTTTCCAAAGCTTCCAAAAGCAGCCTAGTTTCCAAAGTACCATGTCACAATATTTTAACATTTTTTTTCCCTACACCCCTGTTAAGAGATTTTCGGCTTTACAAAGAGAGCTGTAATCACATAATAAAGGAAATCAACGCTCACTTTTAGAAGCGTGTAAAAGAAAAAAAGCATTTCACATCTACGTTTCAGGAAAGTTAACACTGTTCCAAGAAAATAGGGTGTATCACGTAGAAAGTCAATGCAGGTTTTCAGCTCTGCTTTGCTATAATACATCATAGCCATTATGCTATACCACTGGAATATAGAGCTGTGGAGCCGTGCCAGCACCTTCAATGGCAATCGTACCAGGCCCCAGGCATATGAGCTACCTCCTATGCATGCATATGCGACACACTGCATCTACATACGAGCGACAGACACTCCTCTAAACCACGAGGCCAAGACAGAGAAGCTGCCAATAAGGTCAGCATGAGACAGTGCAAGAGAGATGATCAGGTGCAACTGAGTTCAGGCTTTACAAACGTTATCTTCTCATCTGCTTTACACGGTCCTCTCTTTAAATACCTTTCTGGCTTCATTAGGACAAGATAGTCCCTAACAGTTCACTTCACAGCATCTGCAAATCAGCCTCTTTCAGCTGTATTATTCGTTCTTCCTTTGCAAGGTTTCGATCTTTCCCCCATTTTTTTTGTCCACTTTATACATACCTCCTTTTCTACAAATTTTCTTGCCGGGTTTTCTGGCACATTCCTTGGATATTCTTTTGACTGAAAAATGAATAGAAGACTAGAAAATAACATGGAGCTCCATCACAGACAGTAGGAGCATGCAACACCACTATCTAACTTAAATATGACCTGCTTTATTAGGTGCGGAAGATTCTCAACTCGTTGTGCCTGCACATGCAATGGATAAGATGTTGATGCATCTTCCCAGAAGTCAGTGGGTGGCAATGAGAATTAGGTACCAACTTTGACCTAAAAATACACGTGCTGTGGGAGAAAAAAGATGAGTGTAGACAGAAAGAAAAGAAAAACAAAACAAAACGAAAACCAAAAACCAAGGACATATGCATACACAGAAAAGCAGCATGCATACATATAATATGCTGGCATGCAAACAAAGAAAGCCATGCATGCTACCAGTACACGTGAATTAATATTGTTAGAACGTAGAACAGGAAAATAAAAAGATCTCCCTGTTTCGCCTGCTATTAACTCACCATCCTCGGTTGGGACATAGATATTTAAATAGAGGCAGTCTTCATTCTGATCTTGTACATAGGTGGAAACTACATCCAAGTTATTAGTAAACCACACGGGAAGCATGACTTCAGGCAACCTGCCTTCTATAATGTTCTGGGGACACACTGGAGCAAACTGAGTGGTATTTTTGATATCTGCCCAGGGAGACGGAGGCTCAGGAGGTTGAAAGCGGCGCTCCCCTGTTGGAGGGGCAGCATACGGAACCCCAAGAAACTGAATAACGGGCCCCAAAATTTCATTATTAAGTTCCTTCTTAATCCCTCTTATCTTGCCAAAGTTGGTGGTCACCACTGGGTTGGTATCATCCAATTTTTGGGAGGACACAGCTGCAGCGTGGAGCAAAAATCCAAGCATACAAAAAGCAAAAGTGGCATTCAATCCCATGTGTAACAGGCGGACTACCATCGCTCTCCATACACAGTTCAGCCACATGGATCTTGGAAAGGCCATGGTCCCACATTAGTTGTGCAACTACAATGAAGCAATCTGATTTGTATCCACTGGTGTAAAAACAGGGCAACTGAAGGAAACAGATCAAGTTTCCTAAATAGGTGCCTGTCAGAAAAATCTCAAAAGGCTTTTCATGCGGTAAGTGTCTTCCATTGATTTCACACTTATTGAAGCTGCATCTTCACTCAGCACTATTTATCAGACTATATCCTATTGACAATTCTGTTTTCCATAGCAGCAATATGAAGAGAGCAGCCATTTACTGCAGAATCCCCTCTTATAAATCAAATCCAGTTAGCCGCAGGTCTATATCCTGGAGAAAATGAAAATAAATCATTAGTATGAAAGAGCTAATATGAGCAGAGTGATAACTAGATGTTTCACAAGTTATTTACATACATTAATAGTAGCTAGAGTCATGTAAGTAAAATTGCAGTAGTTCATGGGTCCATGAAATGGCGGGTGAAACACTGATTACTGGATTATCTATAAGGTCACCTGTTGAATTTATAGAGATTTTTCAGAAGAGACAGGACTCTCAGAAAACACAGTTTTAAAATTCACCTGTTCAAGAATAAGCAATTTGCTGCACGCTACATTACGTAAGTGTTTATGTTAATATTTTATTTAACTTAATCAGCTCATAATCAATTTTCACCTTGTTTGCACAAGTTGATTTATCAAAACGAAAGTAATTATTTCTCAAAGTAGAAGATAGTGAAATTAAGATAGACAGGCATACTGAAGACTCAAATGCATTTTATTTCATTAAAAGCAGATTATAATACATACAAACATTTTTTGCTTCATTTTGTAATACAACTTCTGATTAAAACATTGAGGCAACTGGAACGTATTTGTAACGATAGCATGAATTACTGTGCTTATTCATGATAACCTGAATTACCATACTTTATATGGTTTTCTTATTCCACAAGTTTCTGATAGCTGATGAAAAATGTGAAATGTTCACATCAATGAAGGACCAAAATCTGCTCCCACTGAAGTGAATGGCAAACTCTGAATTTGCACAGTATAACTGGACATCAGTGGTTTTTTTCAAAACTGATTTGGAAAAGGATATGAACAGTTTAGGGATGGAGCTGTATATCACAATCTTTACTTCAGACCAATCCTGCATTCCTTATAAGCTACTGACTTCAGTGAAAAATGAAAATGCATGATGAATGCACTCAATCTCTACCATCCTTAATTTATAACATAAACAATAAACGTTCCCATAGGACAGCAGAAATCTTATCTTTCATATACCCACATGCTGACTGAACAATATCCTAGAAAAATAATCAGTTAGGATCAGAGACTGTATAATCTCAAATTCCAGATTCTATTTTCAACTACTTTAGCTCAGAGGTTGTCACACAAGGCTGTGTTCCAACACTTCTGAAAATTGCTCAGTGCATATCGTTATATCTTCCATATTCATGTTAAACATATTTCCAACATGACTTACAATATCCTATTATTTAAAATGCAGTGTTATACACAACATAGCAGCGTAATCTTACACTCCCTATTAAGCAGTGTGTAATGCACAAGAAATGTGTTTTGCTTTGTATAGGAAACATTTTAAGCCACCTGCTTTTGAAACAGCATTGGCAGCTTTAATGAGAATTGTTTTTTTATCATGTCTATACACATTGTAGAGAGAATTCAAAAGAACGGCTTGTCTAATAGTCAGACTACCCTGCAGTTTGGGTTATTAAAAAGGAGATTGTAAAAGCTATATAGGACAGCAGGAGATTTGGTTCATGTCTAGTGTTCCTTTAGCTCTGAACAATCTACCTCAGGAGGCAATAAGGAGAGAGATGAAGCTTTTCCACAATTCTCTCTCTCCCTTTCTAACACCTTCACTGTAAAACTGCATTAACAAACAGGCTTATATCCTTCATTCTCCAGCTTCAGATTCTCAGCATTTGCTGGAAACACACCAATTTAGCTGCAGAAAATAATTCCCCAAAGTTGATGTACGTGTTTGCATTTAGTTTAATAAACTTACACAGAATGGCATGCAGACAATTGCCTCTTGGAAGACTGTTGCTTTGTTCCATTTCAAATTTTGAAGGTAGTAGGGTATTACTTGAGAAATAGTAAAGACAGAGTACAGAGACAGTTGCCAGAGCAGAAGGCATCTAGTACAACTTTGCTCTTCTGAGTTGATGTACAGTAGGTCAAGGAAAGAGGGTAGCTTATTCCTTAGTGGTATTCAAAAACCTCCACAAATTTAAACCTTTTCCACTAGGTCTGAAAATTCACGGGTTTTTTTTAATTTCTGTCCGGAGTGGAAGAATGTATTCTCTGTTCTTTCTCAAACTCAAACTTGTAAATAGCAGGAACTTAATCTCAGTAGCTCTCTTGCTGATTTAGATGGCCTGGGGAAGGTCTGAGGACAAACCAAATTCAACATAGCTGTGCCAAACAATAGCATCCTCCTTCATTTCAAGCTGCTGAGTTGGTTCAACATGGAAAATTACCAAGATGGTACTAATAGTTCATTTAGTGCTTTCACCCTAAAAGTCTCAGACCTGTTTTCAGATCTAAGACAACTTTTTAATACACTTTTGATACCTAAAATGTTAAGTTTTAACAGTGTTAGAAATTACATGAGTTAATTAGAACAGAGATACGCTTCATATTGCAAGACTGGGGCTTCACTTTTTTCTTTAACTTATTCTGAACTAAATTTATTCCTTATGCAAATTCAAAGCAAATCCTAGAGCTGGGCTATAGTTTCAATCTTATCCATCAGCTGTTTTGCCATTGCAGCTGAACAGCTCTGCTGTGATTGAAAGTTCTGGTTTGCCTCCCATGGACAATGTTTTACTCTGAGACAGAGACAGGAGGCTAAAAAGGTAAGAAAATAATGCTGTGTTTGGCTATTCTTAATTAATTAACTGTTGGGTAGTAGCTAGCTTCAGTGAATAGACTTATAGGCTACACAGGGCAGTAGTTTTTAAAGCACTTGCAGAATTGGTATCAACAGATTTTGTAATTGTAACTTTAATTTTGGATTTGCTTTTTTTTTTCCACAGGCTTTTCTTTTTAAATGGCTAAGTAACAGTTTATTTTTGAAACTGAGAGGTCAAACATTCAAGCCTGTCACTGGCTGCCCTGAAGCTATAACATTAAAAACACAACTCATGCAAATAAAGAGACTGAGATTACTCAATTTTTTTTGAGACTTTCATGCTAAAATTTTATTTCCAGCACTAGGTGGAAAGGCAAGCAGGGAAGCCAGCCTGGAGCACATCTTACTTTTTCAGAGTCAATGTTGGACAAAATTTTCTTTAGTCCTCCAGCAGGTGATCTACATGGGACTTTCCTTTAGTATCTGGACTTGAAATGATGGAACAGGAATCAGTGGAGAGAGAAGCAATAAAAAGGAGCAGGGATGATCAGGGAGATAGGCAGGAGAATAAACTAATGGGTAATGATGATCAATTTGGGGCAAGCTATAAAGCTTCAGCATCAGAATACTGTGGATCTGAGGAGGAGGAGAAGCATTTTCAGATTTTATTATTGTCTAGATGTGAGGATCACAATTGTTCCCTGTAGTAACGCAAATGAATTCTACTGTAAAAGGTATTTGATAAAGCCTTTGGAACAATCTATACTATATAGAGGTTTTTTCTATCATCCATTATTTTATTATCTTCCTTTCTGAATTTAAATTACTTTATAGCTCAGATTCTGAAATACTTTAGAGAGGCATTTAGTATGCTGAGGAACAAACAGTCCAAGATAACATCAGTGCATCTTTGCATTTCCAATGACATAGGGCATCCCACAACAGGTCGCATCTGCTGCAGACTGCAGCAGCTAAATTCCTCTTTGGTACTCGGTCACAGAGCTGCAAATCTTAAGGGATGTCTTGAACTGCACCCACCTGTCAATAGCTCCAATGGATTAATAAAACCTTTGGTGGCACCTGAGGCTTCTGGCCATAGGCCAGCTTCAGCACACGTGAAGGCATTGTTATGCTATCTTTACACCACTGGCTGTTTTCTTTTTAGCTGAAGATGTACTCTGTGATTTGATATTCATGCTTAAAAATTCCTTTCCACCTCAATTTTGCTAGTAAATCCCAATTGCACAAATGTTCATAGAAAGTGATTGTAAGAGTTTTGAACACCACACAATGCTGCTTCATTTCAACTGCTATTTTGCAGAACCAACTACATTTACATCCATTTTTACTTACAACAGTCTCTACTTGGAACTAAGAGCCCAAAGATGTTTCGTGTCTCTAAAAAGAAATCCGTGTTCTAAAATACGCTACGATGCCAAACAGGAACGTGGCCAGCGAAACAGAAGCCATTAAAGAAAAGACTCTGACCCAGGGTGAACACTAGGTCGGTGTGACACACCAAATGTAAACATGATCAGACAAATCCTCAAGAGATGCATCACAGAATTTCCCATCGCTTCTTCCACATTTCAAGTTAGGCAAGGGAAGCGTTGTGTCAAATACGGCATATTTTTTCTCTATGTAGCAGTAAAGATTTTTGAAACAGACCCTGCTCTTGGGTATTTCCATAAATACTTGGTGAAGGGAAGGGATTTACATGTATTTAGTTCAAGAAATGAACTATACGCATTTTAAAAAAACAGGTGTATGAAATGATAATAGAGGAGACTGCAATCCTGAATATATACACCTAAGAAGGGTACAGCTCTGGTGGGGTTTGGATAGCTCCCACATGCCAGCACCCCTCAACCTGACAGCAGCTACAGGCCAGGAGGCTTCGGAAAGCAGCTGCAAATCCAACCCTATGGAGATGCACAACCTTTGCTGCGACCGCCAGCAAAGGTATGGATAAGACTTCATTCTGATGGGGTCACAGTCCCACCCCACAGTCGTACGAGATTACAAGTGTTACGCTACACCAGTCCGCAAACAACCCAGTGGTAAGGACTTCCAGATGCTACAAACTGTGTAAATATATCACTCCCAGGTCAGAGAGACTGATTCCTCAGTGCCATTCTCACATTTACCTCCATTTAATATTACGTTTTGTACACAAAACCTTACAACCAAGTTAGTAAAAAATACAATATTTAAATACAGTATTCAAACACAGCGTAGCACAAATTCATGAAAAGTTGAATCAAACTGAGTAGATGTTATAAGAATCGTTTAAATTGTCATGCCCTTTTCAGCTTCACTATATTTTTGTTCTTCCTCATTAGTGGGAATATTCACTAATGCTAACTCATTATTAATTAGTATTTTCATGATCAAAAGAACCCTTTAAATAATTTCTGCAACTTAGTTTGCCAAAATAGGAA